CCAAGATTACACCGTGGGAATGCTGAAATTCAAAAAGTTTTGAACAGAATCAGCAAACTTTTTTGTGTGTCACGGTCAAACCCTTGTGGGAGCCAAGTTTGTTTCAATTATTAGAGAACGCTTATGCACGTAATCATGGTAGGATGAAAATACCCCATAAAATACTCAAAATGGCGGCACACTGTAACTCATGGCATTACGATAACGGATGTATAATATTACATTTTCTGCCATTTGATTTACAATATTTACTTTATCATAGTAACATACTTGAGCCTAAATTCATTTGTTTTGATGGAATCTAAAATCTATTAATGCTTACATTTTGAACAATTTATTCACATAAATTTTTGATTTTTAATAAAGAAATATAGGGTAGATGTGAACAAAATTAAGATAAAAAACAGCAATGTTCAGCCAAATTGAACTTTGCTTACCATAGTAAAATAAATAATTGTACCCCCTAACTTTTTGAAAACTTGTTTGGACTGGCTAAGTTTGTGTGAATACTAGAGAGTGTGTCGTTGGGTTCAAAAATGGAGTACAAAATATTGAGATCTCAGTCTAAATTTGTGGATTTACTACCACTTAGTCATTATTTGGGAAATATGTTTGGATTGAGAAAAAGATATCTTGGTGATTTTTGAAAATGATTCTGAAAATAGAATAAATACAAATATCACGGTATCGATATAATTTCATTTTACAGGTGAACACCTTGACCCTTCAAGATATCAAAGACGATCCCGTCAGATTCTGCCTCAAAGCGCGTACGAAGGAAGGTTCGGAAACATTTGTGATCCAGACAGTGTCGCCGGAAAGCAAGCAACAGTGGGTGAAAGAGATTGGAGGGCTATTAGATAAACAGCAAAACTTTCTTAGAGGTATGTTTCCATGGTAACCATTACTTAGTACATCCTTTTATACGAAATAGTATAGTCACGTGATTGTAATGTAAAGATATTTAACTTTAATATCCATGTGATAAATACCTTATTCTGTGAGTCCCATGTGCACGTCACCCAAATTTGTTCTAACTAATAGCATCACAGAATGAACTGACCACTTATGACCTTATATGGAAATCAAATTGCCTTATATGGAAGTCAGATCACCTTAAATAGAAATCAAATTTTCGTGGCATAACACACTTGTTTATGTTCTCACATAATTCTACTCATAGTACCAGTAAAAATGATCTGAACATAATTGTTTTTTCTTTTTTTATCTCAGCTCTTCAATCACCAATAGAGTACCAGAGGGAAATGGAAGGAGGTGCAAGTGCTAGGAATAGTTGGGGATTAGGGTAAGTCTGCCTTATATTTAAATCAAATTGCCTTATATAGAATTTAAATTTTCTTATATGGAAACCAAATTGCCTTTTATGGAAAGTGTATCACCTAATATGGAAATCAAACCTAGCTTATTTCTCTTGTTACATCTATTTAAGAATGGGGAAAATCTTTAATCTTTACACAATGTTGTGTTTACCCAAATACTGGTTTCTTTATTTGAAGTAGACTAAATTGTTTATTATATAAATATTCTAGACCAAAACTCACCTCTACAAGCAAATCGTGTGTTCTGTTTACCTGTGGTTCAATTAATACTCGTTTCTAATCAAGGAAATGTTATACGGATTTGCTTTTAATTGAAAAAGTATAGCATTGTGGATTGAGACAATATTTATTGTGTATTTTGTACACAAGATGTGTCATCTTTAGTACTATGCAGTATTTAGTGTAAATGTAAGTAATCACACAAATACTTTCTGATAAAGTTGTCTTTTTCCAACTTTGTTTTTTATTGTATTTAACTCAACTCATAGAATTTCACTTCAGGTTGTATTTTTATGTAAATTTCATTGCTAAACCATGATATTGAGATCAGTTCACCCAACTTCACTCAACCACTAAGCCAATCAGGCTAGCATATATCACCCGCTGCACCGTATTGAACAACGCTATTGTTTTATCTTCTTGCCAACCAGGGACTGCACACGCACGAAGAACATAAACAAGAGCCTATACTTAAAACTGTAAAACCCTATTCTGATTCTCATTTGTTTTCTTCCTATTCATCTGCTTTTACTGACCTCAGCAATATATATAAAGTGTTGCTTTGTCAAATTACACCAATAAAAATAAGGCATAATTTATTATAGAGTGTGTTCAATGCCTATAAGGTGAGACTGCACTAGCATCGAACATTCTCATTGATCTCACTGTGGGGCAGAAAATGGCTGCCTAATACCAAAATGTTTCAGCAACAATTATGGCATTTAAAAGGTTAATAACACTGAGAAAATATTTTTTGATATGATATATAAATATTTTATAAAGATAAAGATAGACCTCAAATTGCTGCTGAAGTTTTGTTGACAGTGAGATAGCCAATAGAATTTTGTTATCTCTAAAATTACGGGCACCCGAATTAAAAGCTATTTGAGAAGCAAAAACAAGTCTTGTCACTCTTGATGAGATTGCAGCAGCAATTCTATTAGAATTGTAGATATTAACATTAACTGAAAAAACAGGTAATTGTGAGGGTACAAATTGAGTTTATGTCACCATTGATAGATGTTGATTTTTTTTCAGACTTGAAATGTCGGGACACGCAAGGTCTGCATCACAGCCAGCCACGAACACAGGATCACTGCGTAAAAACGAGTCAGGAGCTACCAAGAAGCAACAGAAGAAGGGGTCACCAGCACGAGCCGGGAAATCTGCTCAATCTCGGGAACATAGACGCCATCAAACCATGCCCGCCGGGATCACAATTAGTGAACTTGCCGATAGCGGCGTCTTGCCAGCAACTTGTAAGAAACTTTCCGAGGGGAGGAAATCGGTCCCAAGTGAGGAGACACGAATAACAAAAAGTGACAAACTTAAAGTCGGTGGGGAAGTACGTAAAAACTCTCTGCAGATGGAAAAAACGTCAAGCTCACCGACCGTTAAAAGGAAATTCTTTGATGGACTTATGCAGTCTTTCAGGAAACCCAAAAGTGAGAGTCCATGTCCATCACCGGTGCCGCGGGACTCATCACCAAAACCTACGGGACGGTGTTCTATGGAGTCGTCACCTGTTAAAATAAGAACTCGTGAACATGAAGAGGTGAAACGTCATAGTAGTGCGTCTTTTGACAATAGACTTAGTTACACTTCAACTTCCAGCACAGAGCAAGAGGAGGCCTCAGTAAGTATGAGAGCTGCCACCCCTAAAATGGAAAACAATGGACTGAGCCGGGTAGCAGAGCAGCTGAAACATTCTGTTTTGTAGGGGTGTGCCAGCACTCGGATGGGGTGACGCGATTTGCTGTATATATTTGTGTATATTTTAAATGTATCGTAAAAGTGCCATGTCAACTCGTCATATTATTTGAGGAAGTTATTCATCAGTATGTGTAGCTGCAACTTTGAAGCGTCTGTCTGCGGCATTGCCGTCGGGAACTCAACTCTGCAAGGGTGCTGTTCTTTGTGTTAAATTATCAACACTGATCACTCGCCATGTGACACATCTACTGTTCGAAGCCGAAATAGTTAATATCTCTTTTCCCCCCCATTCCCACAGGGTGAGCCGAACGTGACGTATGTTCCTGTTATAATGAACTACTCCGCTGTAAAAGAAGACGAGATTTCTGTGCAAAAGAGTGAGATTGTACAAATACTGGCTGCCAACCAATACAGCATGTACTTAGTTCATAGGCCAGCCAATCAACTCTCCCCGGCCGCTGAAGGTTGGATCCCAGGTTATGTACTCGGGCACGAAAAGGAGAATGTTCCACTAGAAGGCGGTGTCGGTGACAACAGCACATTGAAGTAAGGAGCCTTGTCTGGTGGTCTAATTCTAACAACACTTGTTTTTCCATTGACTGAATATAGTAATTGAATTACACCCCCCCCCCCCCCCCATTGCTGTAAATATATATATATATATATTTTTTTTTTGCAATGTAACTATAGTACTATGTACACACACACACTTTTCAAATGACATTGACCACTAACAGTTGATTGCGTTGTTTTGTCTAACTCCTCTCATCTTGGTCATTGTTTTACGGACACATATGTGCGTCCATGTCCAACTATCAGCTCTCCACACTCACGTTACAGTCCCTTTTTATACTTGTCTCTGTGATAAACCTTGGCTTATGCCTCCATGCAAATGCAATGTTGTCCAAAAAAAGGAGGGGGATTCAGTGTGCGGAATATTACAGTCGAGTTAAATGTACAGTTGCCACTCAGAATTAATGTGTAGTGTAAACTTTTTTTTTTTTTTACATTCCTGTGTTTTTTGAAAATTGGGTTTTCTGCTTGTAAAATGTATGTCACCTAAGTGACTACCTTGGAAGTTTTGTTCACCGGCATTGTCACCATGATTTCATATACTCAGAGTACACAAAACATAATGATAGGGGTCGATCCAAGATGGATGTCAGCCATGATCAGTTGCTTGCTACTCAGTTTGGTGTGAATGTGCAGTTGAACATTTTTTCAAAGACCTACTTTTTTCTTCCCAGAGCTCTGATTAGGCTGTGAAAAATGTTAGCGGTAGTTCTAACAGCCATTTGCAGTCCCAATTTTAATTATGCACAGCGTATTTCATGGTCTTATCACCATGGAAATCACCAAGGCAACAAAACAAATCAATTCAAACCAAACTGAGGTTGGCAACTTGTGAGAAGAGAGTGTTGTTTCATCTCATCAGGAAAATGCAATCACCCTTTTGGTTAACATGCTGGAAGTTTTTTACAAATGTCACTGCGATGCCTTGGTTCATGTCAGTGTAAATGATTTGTATATTTTTTTTTTCGTCAGATTTTCATAAAATGAAAACACAGAAACAAATCTTCAACTTTTCTGCTTGCACACACCCATCCTTTGTGACTCTTCCACCCCTCTTTTATTAGAATAGATAAATCCAATATTACTGAATTGTATAGTAGACTAAACCATTTCTGGCCACCAGAAAGGGGTGTCTTTAGCGAGGAGTCTTGAGCTTGAATATCCATCGCAATGTACCCTTGCACCCCCATATTATCATAGTTGAATCCTTGTTCACAATGTAAATATCATATATAAGATTATACTATTATTTATGGGGGTGGCAGGGTACTAGAAGAGAAAACAGTACATTTGTAACATTGGAGTGGCTGTTTCTTTTCTAGTTGGTAACTCTGATGTTCATCTTCTTATCATCTTTTCACTGAATCAAAGACCAAACATGCTGCTGCATTTCATTAAATATATGATTGGATCTCACTTTGAAATGTTTTTACTCTATATTTTGAAAAGCGATAAAGTTAACAAAAATATAAAATAAATTCACTTCAATGTTAATCTGTCAAGATTTTTTTAAAAATGTTATCTCATAATTAAAGTCCTTTCAAACTCTCATCAATAAATTATTTAATTTTGTCTTGAACTCGATGTTTAGGTACATTTAATTTGTAGACTCTTTTCGGAGAAGGCATCCCTCAACTTTCTGTAAACCAGTTTATTTTCAAGCAAGACTAATGTTTATAAACAATCTTGGGTGTGAGGAAGTTATGAAATGTTTTAGACTTCCGCCATAGTCATTTTGTAAGATTTAGTCGTGGCAACCGTCCAAAAAAGTGTCAAAATTCTATGGTTTTCAGTATTGTACTATTGCACAGCATGTTTGACATTATAATTTTGCAGACAAATGGAGGTAGAAGCTGGACATCAGAGGGAATGACGTATCAAAGAACCGTCACCAACGTGTTAGATTTTTGTGCAAGAAACTGTAATTTACGAATAGATGGTGTCCAAGTGACTCTGGCATCCGTATTTGGTCAAAAAATTTAGGCAGTGATGAATTGCCTTTGCAAGTATGTCTGTTTCTGAGGAGAAAACAATAAAATTCATTGAAACCTTAATAACGATGTGGTTTGGTGATTTTTTTGTGAAAGCTTTAGTCAAATGGTATTATCTCACAAAATGTTATCCTTGAAATTTTAGTTTCTTTGTTAAAAAAATTGCTGTTAAGATTTCTCTGAATTATAGCAATAAGGGTAAATCAATTATTGACCCTGTCATAGGGCAGATGCTTCCCGCCAAAATTTTATACAAATTTTTGCTGAACCCAATAATAATTTGGAGTCAAAAAGAAGAAAAAAATGCTCATAATTGTTTAAGATAATTAATATATTTCAAATTGGATTATTTTAATTAAAAAAGGAAAAGTTGAGAATGGTGGTGAATCGTAAACTAATTAACCTTTCGTTTTAACCAAATGCCATGTTACTATAGTTTTGTGAGATGATACGTTTTCAGAAAATACCTCCCGATATAATTCTCATACTTGCCATGGAGGGCATAGTTGTGGATTTTGTCAGAAGATCTTATTTGCATGCAGAAATTTAGAGAAGAAAGAAAAGATGTCGATGACCTGGAGCTGAAGACCAATTTATCTTATTCCTAAGAAGTTCCTTTACTGCCACTGCTGAAAATAATTTAAAAAACCTTCACCTATGTATTGGCATTTTTGCTGTTTTTTTTCCCCTTTTATAAGTTTCCTTTTTTATTCATAGTTATTTTGTTGTTTTTTTTACGTACCATTTCACTGCTAAAATTTGCTTTGAATTTTGTTTATGTTGATGCTATCACAAAACTTGGATGTTTTAAAATATTTTTAAAGACAAGGAAATGGTCAGTTAGTCGTACATTTGCATGATGTAATATAGATTTTTTCTTTCAAGAAATGTTTATCTTTCTTTGGGGTGTCTCCAAAGACCAATTAAAACTGCTTTTGTTTTCTTTCTCTGAGCTGTTAAAATCAAGATATTTTCTATTTATATTATTTGTGGATATATCGGAATCATTTGCATTAATATTCAAAATGTGCAATATCTTAACAGATTAAGTTTCTGGTTATTATAGAATTCGCTAGAAAAACATGAAAATATGCTTATGAAATTATGCTAAATTGTTTTATATTATCAAGAAAATTTAAAACCTTGAGTCTACAATGTTATTTTTTGGTTAATACAATACCAGGACTTGTTATTATCGAAACCTTTTATTTCGCTTATCTAACAGTTTTTAACAGCTATAAGGAAGTGAATAAAACTCCAAATTGGTTGTTGTTGACATTCCATCTAAAATATTGGTGGAAAGCATGGCATCATGTCATCTGCATGCTTTTTTTGCACCTATCGCCAATATATCTGTTAGTTTTATTCTTTTGAAATCCCCCCCCCTGTACAACCATATACTTGCACTGTTGTGTATATGTTTTGCTTTGCATGGAGGTCCTCTCTTCAAACCTGTCATACTGTTGGTTTCTTTGTGTTAATACATTTCCCTCCTCCCCTTCCCACTAAACCTTACCATAACTACCAGTGACCTAACTTGGCAGTACTATTGATAACTACTCTTAACTAGTAGTGACTAACTCAAGAAAGGTAGGTACACATTGGTTATAATAACTTGTTGCACTGAGTACTGTCTGTACATGGTAAAAGCATTTGTGCAAATTAACATGTATTGCATCAAACATTGCATGGTAATGAAAGCCCCTTAACTTATTAGAAGTTTGCAATCTACTAATTGTACTGTACAGGTATACATGTATTGCTTGTTTCTTTGATTATATATGCTTTCTCTCAATCGTTGACTTCAAATAAATCCGGATTGTCGCGGTGCATGTTTATTTTTTGTGCTTCTAAGTATTGTGGCTAGATTGTATTCTAAATTATTGTCTTCGGGTAGTTACTTTTATTCTTTGGAGTGTTTTTAGGCATGAGATGTATATTGTGGGTTTGGTGTTAATGATTCTGACAGTAATGTGTTGTGCTTGGTATTGAAAATTCATAGAAATCACCTAGTTTATTTAATAATATTACCGGGGGTGTTTTGCTTAAGGCTGATGGGGGGGAAAAATTAGTTTGTATAGCGCCCTCTTTTGGTGGCTATAGCTATTCCTTTCGTTTTGATGAAGCTGTTCCTTTTTCGATGTACTAGTAACACTAAGTATACAATTGTTTCCTATTGGCTCAGACTCAATTCTTTTGTTAGGTGAGTATATCACACTGAAGTGTAATATGTTTTGGTTAACTTAATTTTAAATTCACAACTCATATGTCCCATGGAATCATAAATGTATTCATAAATCACTACGGAAATCTATAGTCACAATGAATGAAATAAAGAGACGTGTGTTAAGTTAAGTTGCCACGTTGTCATGGCAAAAGTAGTTGATTTATTACATGTGCCTAATTTATTACATTGTGAGCTGAACTAGCATTGTAGAACTTTTAAAAACTAATACAGCAGACTTGGTGGGTGTAAAATGGACACAATAAATGCCAATAAAAGTCATACTGAGTGCATCAAGTATAAATTTCTGTAGAGTTTTGTCGCATGCTCTTCGTTAATGGTATTGAATGTTCAGTGCAGTTATTTGGCAATTAAACAAACGTGTTTGTTTATTATCATCAAAACTTCAATAAAAATAGATCATTTGGAAGTAGGATTCTCCACTTTATAAACTGATAACACATTCCAATCCAATACAGATGTTTCCCAAATAGTGTGAATTAATGATGTAAGCTATATAAACCATGATTCCAACGGTAAAGTATTTAAATCATATTTGTTCTTTTGAAAACTCCTCTTTAAAACTTCCATTTGAGTAAAACAAGTTTGTAGTTTGAAGCAGCCACTTGTTCAGTTGTTACTTCATTTCTGATTGGATGATTTCCAACTGGTATCAGCTTCTGTTAGTCAACATGCCAATCAGCATGAGTCTTAGGAAATATGTTGTCTTGCTTGATATTGAGTGAATGACCTATATTCTATACTATGTTGTCAACTTTAATGGTGGAATTTTTGTAATTAATTTTTTTTTCTACCTACAGTCGGAGGTCGTGGACGAGTGCTCACAAAATGCGCAAGAGTAAGAAAGAAGAGCTGAGATTGGCCAGGAATTCTGATAGCGATGTGGCGATGATAAGACGCAGAATGTCACTTGAGAGGGATGACCTGTATGGGTCAAAGGTCACAGTCAAGGTATGTGTTACCATGGATACAGTCAC